GATACGTAGTCGTCCTGAAGAATTTCCCCAATTCTCCCAGTATTCGGAACCCGTCCATCAGCGTCCTAAATCCTCTGGCACCTCTGGGTTGGCCTCTTCCAGGGTTACCTCTGGGAGCTCCGGTTGGACGACGAAAAGAGTCTCTGCCTCCTTTGGAGTTGCCAAACTTCGTTTCCCTGGCTCTCTGTATCCCCGCGAATTTCGACTTGCCGGAGTAGCGTTGTGACGTCTGACGAAATAACACTGGCTAGTGTGTCGATGGACTTGATCATCATCACCTCCCTTGACTCTTTTGTAACTCATCAATTTCCCCTGCGAAGATGGACGATGCTGACCATGTAGCTCTGTACAAGGTCTTGGTGAACCGTTCACTCCAGTTGCAGGAAAACAGCAAACCTTGTCTTCTCAGGAGCGTGAGGCCCGCTGACGTGGATGCCAGATGTTCGGACATAAACTGATGATCCTTCTTTTGGGTCAGCAATGCAGAGTAAATCATCCGATCCTCTTCAGAGGTCGAGTTCCGGAACTTAGCGATGAGGGTTTCATTAATGGCTCTTAATCTGGCGAGACCAAAGAAGGTACGTCTGGTAGTTGTATCTAGTTGCCAGCTTCTTATCCTCTATCTTATAAGTTCTAGATCGGGAGTCATTGATGATTTTGTAGTTCTCATCTATCTCTGGGGCCATGTGATGAAGTGAGAACTTCTTGGCGTTGAACGGCAGGACGCTTTGGCTCTGGAACTTAGTTGCCTTCCCGAAGGCTGTGCTGAGGTTCTTCGGTACATCCGAGACAGGATCGATGGGTGGAAGGGTGAGCGTATCAAAGTCGTCGTTCGACATCTTATACGTGAGTGCTTCATTATCCTCTTTAGAAGGTGATGCAAGTTCCAATCCATTAGCAATCCAAGATTTGATCTCTGTATCGGAGAATATGATTCCGCCATCATCTTCTGATCCAGTGGCCTCTCGGTCTGAAGATCGTCGCCGCTGTGACCTGCGTGGAGACCTGCACGCAGGTGACCGGTTGGGATACGGTTTCTCCCTGAAGTCTTGAGGCGTATCTCTGCGCCTTCGTGTAGATTCTCTTCTACGGGATGAGGAGTGCCTGCGTGCAGGCTCCTGATCGTTTTCCGTATCTGAGGTCGAAGATGATCTTTGTGATCTGCTTCTGCGCTGCTCCGGAGAACGTCTAGTTCTGCGCGAAGGCTCCTCAATAGGCTCTTCTGGAACATCTACAGCAGTCTCATCGTTATCAGGGCTGCCAGGTTCTCTGGAAGTTGCCGTAGACGATCGTCGACCCTTCACGCAGGCTTCTATCTTCAACCGGATGCGAAGTGCAGACTGCTTGTCCCTCGTGCAGGCTTGTCGTAGATGGGGTCTTCGCCGCAGCCTTCTCCTGCCAAAGCGTCGTTCCATCAGCTCCAACATCTACTCAGTGAACTGCTGCATGAAGATACCCCGGGTTGAAGTTCTGAGACGACGACGGCTGCTGCTGCTGCAGAGATGACGACGCATCTGAGAGGGATGAGGCTTCTTTAGACTAACAACTAGTCTCTGAAATGAACATATTTTACTGAAAAAAGTTCATAGTAAAAAAAAAAATATATAATGAAAAGGAGCCCTGAGACTTTCTTCATTTTCAGAGACTAAACAAATCTGCAGAGGGATAATTTCTTGGAATTTCACAACACATGCAAAGATTCTTATCACCCATTACTGCTTTAATTGTGTGTGACAGGAATATTTACTGCCCCCACCGCCTCCTGGTCCTACTGCCAGTGGTGTGGGCCGATTTGGGGTAATGAGTATCAAGTGTCGCCAAATCTATTTTGAGAGCAAGCAGGGATACCAGCTAAGGGTAGCATCTCTTGATATTCCTATGGCTGGACAACTGGATCTAAAAAAAAATAATCCAAATTTATTTATATTCTCCAAAATCCAAAGGTTGTGTCTGCACTATATGTGGAAGTTTAATTGATGTCGCATATATATAATGTAACAAGCAGAAAAAGTCATCAATATCCTCCGCAATGGCAAAATACTCTTCATGTATATGTCAGTTAGTTATGACTATGTCAAATGTTTTGGTGTGTATATAGCAGTGAGTGAGTGACTGAGTTTTAGTTTTATGCCACACTCAGCAATCTTCCAACTGTCTGTAAATAATAGAATTTGGACCAGATAATCCAGTGATCAACAGTATGAGCATCAATCTACACAAATGGGATGCAATGATATGTGCCAACCAAGTCTGTGACTATATTACAAAGTGGAAGGAGAGTATTGAAAGGTTTTTAAGTTCTACTCCGGAAATGAGTACTACCACCAATTTCAGTCAAGGTCAAACTTGTTGCCATGGAAACACAAAATATTTTTTATTCAGAAATATTTAAAAGTACCAAAAGGCACCAGTATATTACCAGACCTATCTATGCGCCAAGTTTGGTGAGGAAATATTCAACGGTTTTAAAGTTCTGTTCTGGACAAGATGACATCCTCATAGCCACAGCCTCCATGGAAAGTTCATATCTGGGTCTAAACCCCAAAAGGCACATCTATGGATCATACTTGACATATGTTCCAAGTTTGATGAAGCTTGCATGTATAGTTTGGAAGATCTGCTCCGGACAAGATGACTGACTGAGTTGGTTTCACTCCGCTTTTAGCAATATTCCAGCAACATCATGGCGGGGGACACCCGAAATGGGCTTCACACATTGTACCCATGTTGGGATTCGAACCCGGGCCTTCGGCTTGACGAGCCAACGCTTTAACCATTAGGCTACCCCACCGCCCCCCTGGACAAGATGACATCCTCATGGTCACAACAGCCTAAGTCATGTTTCCATGGAAACAGCACCAAAAAAAATTTCATATCTGGGTCTAACCATCAAATGGCACATTTATGGATCATGCTTGATATGTGTACCAAGTCACGTTTCCATGGAAACGCAAAAAAAAAAATTCATATCTGGGTCTAACCATCACATGGCACATTTATGGATCATGCTTGATATGTGTACCAAGTTTGATGAAGCTAGCATGTATAATTTAGGAGCTTTGCTTCGGACAAGATGACATTCTCATAGTCACAGCCTAAGTCATGTTTCCATGGAAACAACAAAAAATAACATTCATATCTGGGTCTAACCCAAAAGGCACATGTTGACATGTGTACCAAGTTTGGTTAAGCTATCACGAATAGTTTAGGAGATATGCTTCAGACAAAGCGTGACGGACCCACGGACGGACGGAACTCGTTTGTATATTCCCTAAAATTCGTTGTTGCGGAGGATAACAATATGCCATCAGATCCCCATGACAATGTCTTTTTAAAGTTTATGGATAAAGTCACAAATGCCTACATCGTTGAGGTTACACTGCTTTGAGCCTAATGATTTATATTTCTCTGTTTGTCTCTTCATCATGCAAATCAAGGATGACACAATAACAGTAGCATGGCTTGTATTTTCTACTGACTTGTCTGAATAGGGAGAATTTCGAATGTCCTGGATGGAGAACAAAACAACATATCTTCACCACTTAAGTACTTTTCAATCATTGTATTCTGATTTGGACGAATGCTGTGTATATTTGCTTTCATCCTCATCAAAGTACCAATTCATTTTTACCCTGAGATGGAAAACCTTTCGAAATGATCCCCTCTCCTCGCCAGTGTAAAATGAAACAGTTAAAGAAAATACTCAGATTTTATAAGTCATCAGGTCTCTAGTGTAATCACACACGTTGTTTGTCTGGAGTGAGAGGACAGGCAGAAGCAGGAGGTCATGGCTCAGTGTGGGGTCTTGGGGAGAGGTGGGGGAGGGTCCCCATGAGTTAATATTAAACACTAGTGACAGCTAGAGATCAACTGATAACTACAAGCCATATTCTGGCTTGTGAATTCAGCAGATTGGTACAGACCCTGAAGCTGAGGAAATCTAGACTTGCCACATTTTCTAGACTTGTGTGGGCTTTCTTGTATATATTTGCTTCAGGGTCTGTACGAGAGACTAAGGCTTCTTCCAAGGACCGCTGTACTTGTGAAGAACTGCCGTCTCTGGTACCTGATGTCTGCGTTGATAGATCATCTGTCTGTGCTGTGATGGCTGCTGATGTCGCTGTAGAAGAGTATCTCGTCTTCTTCTTATTTGCTACTTCAGGAATGAGGATGGGTGGCTCGTCATACACGTCTACTTCATCTGGAGGGATGATCTCTGCAGAGAAGGACCTCGTCTTCTGTGCTGCACCGTGTGAAGACTTCACCGAAGTCTTATCTGCAGTCGACTTCTTTTTCTGTGAAGACGATGACCTGGTCTTCTTAGACTGTGACGAGTCTACTTCAGACGTTGACGATCTCTTCTTGCAGCCGGAGCTCCCCTCTGCCACAGCAACATGCTCCGTAGTAGCGACCAATTGTAAACAAGATGAAATATCATGTCAACAACGTGAAAAAAACAGATAATTTATCATATTGCTGGTCTATCTCCTAAATGCTGTATAACAGCTAAATTTTGTGGTAAAGGCCTAAAATTAAAAGGATATAGTGCCGTATAGGGGACTCAGGCGCTCTCACAACCATCCTCTAGGGCGAAGAAGGAGAGAGTGACAAGCATGGGCGATCATGTGACTGATTTTGGAGCCAAAACAGTAAAGGGAGGCAACCTTGGGTGAGTGATTTTATGTCCGCTTTTTTAAAGGGAGCTTCAAAAGGGATTCAAGTGTTCCACTATCATTCGAAGAAGAAGGAGACAAGCAAAAAGCATGAGTCAGGATAAGGAAAAATTATACCTAACAAAAGGCAGAACCCACAACACAACTGCATTGAAATCTTGTTAATTTCCTTCACGGGTGGTGAGGTAGCCTTGTGGTTGAAGTGTTTTTATCGAAGGCCCAACTTTGATTCCCAACAGGGTACAATAAGTCCACTGCTGGAATAATGCTAACAGTGGTATCAAACCATCCTCAATCACTCAAGCCTGTTAATTTCCTGATAATTACCTCTAACTGATCTGCATCTGCTGACTTGGGACCGAATCCGCCAAAGTAGTAGATCTTTTTACCCAACACCACACACTGCAGCTTGTCCCTGGGGAGTGGCTTGGGTCCATCAGCTGATACCACTGACCATGTGTTGGTGCCTGGTGAAGAAAAACATCTGGTGTTACCATGGTTACAGGTAAGGTTAAACATATCAAGAAGGCTAGATAAAGATTTTCCACAAAGTGATCTTAGACAATAGTAACGCCTATGCCCATTGACTTACAACTGTTGTAGCTCTAAGCATGCTAGACTGTCCTGTAGAATTTGGAGGAGAGCATTTTATATTGGTATTTTACAAATACTTTTTAACTTCATCTGAGTTCTAGATGAACCCCTATTCTGCATTACACTTACCAATATCAAATGAATACAAGTCATCAAACCAGCCAAAAACATTACTGAGGCCTCCGAAGAGATAGAGTTTTTGTCCGACTGCAGCAATAGCCGCTGCAGTACGTGGGGAAGGGGGGCATCCTTTCACCGGGAGTTTGGTCCATTCTTGTTTCTCTGAAGAAGATCCAAACAAAGATAAGACTTGCTGATAGAACATAATATAATATTTACCTCATAGAAATCAAAGTGATCATTTGAATAATTAGAAAACCATTAAGCTTTGTTTAATTTGACTTATAATATTATGTACTGGGAAAGATTTCCGCCCGTAACCCCCGGTGTTTTTTTTATCATTCTATGCCTAAGAATAGATATTTTTTTACAGAACGCCTACCCTAACCATAAACCTAACATGATGCTAAATCTGATCCCTAAACCTAAACACTAACCCCTTAGAAATAATCATAATAAATAGAATACATTTCAAGCAGGGGTTACGGGCGGAAGTGATAACTATCAGATACCTAATTACACCTAAAAATGTACAAATAATTTGTGGCAGTATCCGAGCCATTGATCCGAGCCATTGATCCTACTTATCCAGTCAGACTTAGTCTACGATATAATGGCTGGGTTCCACTTGGCTGTCATAAGTGTCAAAAGGCAATGTCATTTGTAAAACAGTAAACGACAGTAAATTATTTTTATGCGATGTCGAATAAAACAGTTACTGTTACCTGTATCAAATACTGTGAGGTCATTTGACTCCCTGAGTTCATCACCATGCTGAGACACGCCACCAAAGGCGTATACCTTTGACCCCGACACACAACAAATCTGTCCCTCTCTCGCAGGAAATTCATTTGATACTTTCTTCGATCGAATGACAATGTCATTGTCAATCTTCTCGCCATAAGAGGCGGTCTGACTAGTTTCGTTTCCCATGACTTTCGGGTAATTTAGTAAAAATAAGAAATAGTATCACTGTTTGTGTTTCTTTCCTACTAAAATAACACGTGATTCTCTGGTATAATCATCCACAAATGTCAAATCCGAAGAGGTGACAATGAAAACGATATATTTATTTCCCGCGAATTTCTTCGAGCCAAACCGGAAGAAACCGTCTTCAGCATTCGGAACAGCTCGTGTTATTACGATATGGCGAGTCGTCAGAGAATAACGTTGCTCACGGAACTGCTGATTGAAAAGAACCGGTCTACTGTATCTATCACTAAGCCGTGTATGTGTAATAAGAGAAGTCTTCGGTTGATGAAATATTTGAAAGAAAGCAAATTATTTGCACAATGAAATAAGTGGCCCTGTGTTGACATTTATTAAGTAATGCTGACGGAATAGACGGATTTAGAAATGGAATTAATTTTACTAATATATTCTATACAACTACTTTCAGTAGACAACTAGTTGCCGTATTTTATTTTATGTTGTAATTGTTTATTATCTTAAAGCGAAGAGAAACAACACAATACCTTAAATTACCCAATAGTAATAGTTCATTGCTCATTAATTCTGAGAATACCAATGCCTAAACACTATTAAAAGTTAAATAAAAAGTTAAATAAAAAAATACTCTCACACACACCAAAACAATCATGGCCAGTACATGAACATCAGACCGACGATGTGATGGACAAATACAATGATCGTTACCATTTCAAGAAGACCGAAAAGGGGTATCTCAAACAATGTAATCCAGCATATATCTATGCGACAGCCAGAACAAGAGATACAAACACCCTGCATTCTTTACCGTCTTGCACCATTCAGGCTAATGCCACATATTCAGTATCAGACAAGTATCAGGTGTCCATGGCAACATCAGACTCGATGCAAACAAATACATTTTTAAATGTCCAAAATTGAGACTATCATCTCATTTATGTATTGCATGGTCGAGTTTATAATATTAATTTACTCTTTACGTCTAACATGACAATTGTAGTGTCTTAGAATTTGGATGTGGTTACAGCGACAGCTCATGGGTGTAAAATGTTTGCTATATAAAACGGTGAAGTAAAATCCCCCCGTATATAATAATCTGCTTTTCCTATAAAAATTGAAGAAGTTATAGTCTTAATTAGCCTCTTGTGTATATCAATTTTTGTTTTCGACGTACATTTTAACCAACAATAAGTGGACCAACTGTGATTAACAACCTTCCGCCAGGACCAGCGTTACACGCATGGATGAACAAAGCGCCATTAGTGTGGAGGTTGATTAACTGATTAACACCAGAGACCATATACCGGTATATGGTCTCTGTTAACACTAACTCAGATTTGTTTTGATAGTAATTTGAACCTTATAACACTCATGTAATGTATACTGCCTATTAACTGCATGGCCGTGTTCTTGTGACAACAGTACAAATTAAAAGTATGTCTAACATTAGCATAATTTACGGACAATTCTGGGGATTTACTAATTATTTGCTATACCAGCGGGAAAGCAAAATTTTCGGGGAAACCGTGCAGCTACGATAGAAAACACCTTTGCTAAATGAAAAAAAAAAATCAGTTAGAACTGGTGGTTAATTTCAGGTCTAAAAGGCATTTTGATTGTTATAGTTTTAACGTTTCCCCAACGTCCCCTCCAGAAGAAATATACTCCAAAGCCAAGATCGGGACGAGTACCGTTAAGATTCACGATTTTTGAAACACTAGTTGTAACACCGCTACTATGAGCATATGGGTACCGGAACTTGGCAGGCAGGGAAAGCGGCAGGTGCGTAGGTGTGTATTTATTAATCCGAAAAATACTAACTTTTCTTGTGAATTCCTTGTAATATAAATTGCCAAAGGTAAGATTAGTCATCTGTAATTCTTTTGAGGAATAATTAGGATCGACTCAACGTATATGAGCAGCTGTCAATGCGCGTAGACATGTGACACTGGCAGGTCTTTGTCAGTGTCAGATCGAAAATATTTAGACAGTGACAGTTGCTATTATCTAGACATGTAAATTCTTTTGTTTTGAAAATGCACAAATCACAACAGAGATTTTGCAGACATATCAAGATTATCGAAATCGAACTACGTACTGTTAAAATATACAACGCGGAAGAGATCATGACATTTACTAAAACATTGCACGATATATTTTAGTTTGAGTTGTGATTACTCTAAAATCCTCGTCTTCAAACAAATATTTAGTTTAGTTACAGTTAAGTTATGCTCTGTAAATGTTTAAGTCTATCAGTTTTACAACCACTCACACCATGTAGAATTTCTGTTGACTTTGATTTGACATTCACATATAAGTATGTCTGATGCTCTAATGGTTATGAACATTTGAGCGAACAGTCTATATATAAACCAGGAATGTGTGTTTCCTTCCCTCATTGTCAAGTGGACACAAACTTGCATAAATGTTATTGAAAAGCCTCAGGATTGAGTTGCAATGTATCCTACTGTCTCCACCCATACCACTTCTTCCTCACTGAAGATTAGCTCGTAGTATCCAATTATCTAAAGAGAACGATTCTTCTCTGTCTCAGGTCCCATTTCAGTTTACATGTCAGCGTCATGTCCAAGTTCATGTTTAAAGCTGACTCACTGTCTCTGTGCAGGTAAACAAATTGGTTTTGACTTGGATCAAATGTGCCAGAGGCTTATCCCGTCTTCACAGTGAGCAAATGAATACTGCAATACACATCGTAATGTTGCTGCCATATGCATACCGCTTGTTATGTGTAGTCTGCAACTTTAGTTGAGTAAGATACTACTTGGTCTAATAAACACGGCTAATAATATTCCATATGGTTCCTCTAAACTCCGCTGAAAATTACACTTAGAGCAATGTTTAGGCTAGTAGACTCAAAGCTATTTGAAGTTGTACTATTACTATCCTGGCAAGTAAATATTTTAGTTTAATCTACATCCCTGCATTGCAATGCAGTGTAGTGAATTGTGGCTTTTGGGAGTTTTGATAAAAAAATTGAGTAATGCAGGTACACAGGGAAGTTTTGTTGTTTTTGGAACATCAGTGTTCAGAGTTTTAATTCTTGACTCTTGAAATTAATGAATTCAAGTGAAGAGTTGATAATTAGGGACCCAAGAAAAATGTTTGCTCTTAATAGTGACAAGTCAATATCCCAACACAGTATAGTATGACCAGAAATTATTGAGAATTTTAGGAATATGTTTAATTAGATTTCTAGTATAAACAACCTTGACCAGCTATTAAGTGCTTGGTTTCATTCAAGAGATACAACTCCGTTAATCCTTTTTCATTAGTTTGTGAAGAGTTATCCCCCTTTGTTTACTTGCTAGCAGACGACATTTTTCAGTGATCCTCAGTATGGATGATTTAGAGAAGAGGAAGTTGATTTTAGAGTATTATAACAAGGACATTAGATCAGCTAAAGTGATTTCAAGTAGAACAGGCATCCCTTTGTCCACTGTTTATCGTGTTTTGCAAAATATTGCAAATGGATATGGCATTGAGCTCCAGGGAGGCGCAGGTAGGCCCAGAAAATAGACTGTCGGTGACAGGAGGCGGATTGGTATTCTTGTTTCTAAAAACAAACGAAGGAGTTTAGAAAACTTAAGGCTGGATATGATTGATAGAGGAACTGTGGCTGTTTGTAAAGAGACAATTAGAACTGAGCTGCATGCAGTGGGTTGGCAGAAAAGTCGAGGAATTCCATCACCGATCATGAAACCTGAACAAAAGGAGCGAAGGTTGAACTGGTGCTTACAGCATAGAAATTTTAACTGGGACAATGTGATTTTGTCAGATGAAAGTTCTGTGTGGCTGTTGCCTAATACACTGAAATTCTGGACCAAACAAACTGAAAAACCTTTGTATCAGCGCCCAAAGTACAGTCCGAAATTTAACGTGTGGGGTGGCATATCTGTGTTGAAGGGAATATGAACAGTGAGAGGTACACAGATATTCTCGAGGGGCATTTACTTCCATCTGCTCACGTGTTCTATGGAAATGTTTGGATTTTCCAGCAGGACAACGACCCAAAACATCGTTCAAAGCATTCACAGGCCTGGTTTCGGACCCAAAAAATGACATTATTAGATTGGCCAAGCTATAGCCCTGACCTAAATCCAATAGAAAATGTTTGGGGACTTATGAAGGAAAGTGTCAATAAGAAAAATCTGACAAATATTGCTGAAATGAAAGAAGAGGTGGTCCAATATTGGGACAGCATGGACCACAACTTTCTAACTTCTTTGATCAGTAGTATGCCCCTCCGCATTGAAGCCTGCATTGCTGCCCATGGTGACTTGACAAAATACTAACTGTTCACCTGTCTTTGAATCTTGAGTTCTGTTCTGCTAATATTCACATTTAATACGTGAGTAATGAGTGAAAAAAAAAAAAATTACAATCTTTAAATTCTTAATAATTTCTGGTTGTACTGTATCTACAGCAGCTGACTAACATCTTGTCTCTGAAATGAACATATTTAGCAGAAAATAAAAGTTTTTAATTTAAAATTATAAATACAATGAAAAGGAGCCCAGAGACTTTCTTCATTTTCAGAAGCTGTGAAATTCCACATTTGTAGACTTCTTGGATATATTTGCTTCAGGGTCTGTATGACAGGCTACTACCACAGTAGTATATGAAAGAATCAGGAGTTCTTTAACTTCTTTTGGGTAATATACATAGTGGAATACATTGGGCATAAGGTATGTGAAGATGCCAAAGTACATTGATGGGGATATGGGGAACAGGTCTATGTCATGTCCACAATGTTTTCTGTCCGCTGACTCCTTGCTGACAAATAATTTAAAAGGCCATGAAGTAAAGAAAACATATTTAGAATGTAACTTGCAATGTTATTATATGTTTGGATTGATGAAGTCACTAAGTGTTTTAGACAAACATGTGTTCTGAAATGTTAATTATTTATTTCAGATACTTCTTATAGGACCAAATGCCTGAAGTAATCAAGATTTTCAGCAAATCTCTAAACAGGGGACTTTCAGGGAGGTATGTATCACTGATTTGTCAGAAATGTTTAGTAATGTTTGCAATGTTTTCTGACACTACCTGTAAGGTGCATGAAATGATAACATGTATATTTGCTTGTGACACTACATTTTAGTGTGTGTTTTAATTAAAGGTTTGTCAATCATTGATTATGGTGCTATACATTGACAGGGGAAACGTTATCAGTGGAACTACACTTGGATTACCTGGCAGCTAAATTTTCTGAATTTGTGATATTTTTTAAGAATTAGCTACTGAAATAGAAAAGTCACTGTCTTCCCTATCATCCCTATGAGTATTATGCCCATCAACAAAGACACATGCACTAAATTCTTTAAGCACAGGTAGAGAGAGGGTCATTATCTGGGCTCAGTTTGAGAATTTTGAATTTGCACTAGTGCAATCTGAAACTGTAAATTGCACCTTTTATTTATACCATATTGCATCGAGTGCATGTTAATATTTTTGAGGTATCAACTGTGTTAATTTATCCAGAAATAATCATACAGCTTATCTTATTCTTTAAAAACTCAACCAAACAGTAAAACCCAAACTGTATTATGACAAGACAAGGTGTAAGCCACTTAAACAGGAGGGTAGTGTTGCTATTGATTCTTGGGCTGTGTATTCATGGAAGAATGTGTATGTGCACGAGCATTGCATGTGTTTCACTCTACTGTGTATGAGGATCCCTCCTCTGAGTAGTGACTCTGATGGGTGAATGATTGAGTCTGGTTTAATGCTGTTTTTAGCACTATTCCACCATGTGAGCAATATGACCATTACCTTCACTACCTTAAGTGTTGTATTCATGCATTATAAAGTTGTTTCTTTGTGTAGAAATACCTTATGTGACATTACGAATGACATTTTGTTATGAAGTATCCTAGCTGGTTTCTATATCCTAAATTTCATATAATATTATTCTTTTATCATCAGTACACTCTTTCTAAGTCTGCTTTCTGTGTACAGGTTGATAGGTGTGGGGAATGGATTCCAAGGACCAGAATGGGGGGTGTAAAGGGCCTGCCACATCTAGGAAATCCCGCCGGAAAACAACTCGAAAACGACCTCAATCTGCTCCAGCTGTCTCCAAAGCTACCTCAGGTGGAGGGGACCACCCGACTGGGGATCGGTACCATGCAACAAGTTTTCCCCTTTTCTCAGGATCTTCTTCCCTTCTGCAGAAGGAGCAGATACACCAGGACAAAGACCTCAAACATATCCGGGGTGATGGCAAGAGCAAGATATTCCCATTCCAGATGTTGCCAGATTATTGTAAGCTGAAGGTCTTTTCATTTCTTTCCAACATTGAAAAAGCCAGAATGTCTGTTGTGTGTCGGTCATGGAGTATTTTGATGAAGACGCCACGGCTGTGGAACCATGTCTTATTCTCAGCCCTTCCTCTTGGATGCTTGGAATCTGCTGGTCACGAGACTACAAACCAGTGCTATAAGTGCTACAAGAACAGGGTATTTCTGTTTGCGGATTATTTACTTCGCTTGCGACCCATCCTTCACAGTTTCGAGTTCAAACTTGACATTGCCGATGCCAAGGTGAAGTACCTTCAGTTGATTGAGAATGTTCTCCACAGCTCACACTGTGCTGATCTCCATTATGCTGATATTAACTGGAAGGAAACACCAGCTCTGCCCTTTTGGCTGGAATCGGCCAGATGGTCACAGAGTGATGAAGTCATACAGAACCATCGTCACAGGCAGCGTTTGTTTGTTAATTTCTTCAATGATTTCACACACATGGCTCCCAACTTGCAGACTTTGATTCTGCCATTTGACTGGTCTGAGAATTCTGTTGAGTATTTAAGTCGCTTGAAAACTTTACACAGTTTGGTGCTAGAGAAATACTTTGTCTTTCAGAACCTCAATCAAAAATTGTTAACACGTCTGCTGGAGAATTTACCGAAGCTGTCTCGGCTAATGCTTGAAGTATGGACACCGAGCGGACAGGGTCTCCTTACATACAGCCTTGCATCAAAATCAGTCAGGTATCTTGACATATCACAGAGTCGGGGGTTTTATGTCCAGAAATTGAAAATGCCCAAGCTGAAGAACTTCCGCGTAGCTCGTCATCCATGGAATGGCCCTCTTGTGATGGCGGAGAATGTGAATCTGCCATGTCTGTACGATGTATTGGTGGGTGGAGCTCCAGAACTAGAGACTGTCAATGATCATCGTCTGTCTGAAGGCTGGCAGGACTGCTTGAGCAGTGAATTTGAGGATGTTCTGAAAACAGTCTGTTCATGTCGCCGACACAAGAGTGGCTGGGCTTTGTATTGAACAGTGTGTGTCCTTGTCTGTGTTGTTGTACAATTTACATTTTCATGAAGTGCAATGCATTGGAGTGGCAGACATGAGGTGGAAGTTACAGGGTCCAGTGGTTGGAAGACATGGGAGGAACGTACAACATCTTTACAGGATTGTTTCAATTTATATCAATATAAAAAGATTAGAGAATTTTATTGATTTGTCCATGTGATCAGATAAGATACATTTAAAATGTACAAAGCTACTTTTTTGTGTTGTTGAAGATATTAATAGTTTTCACATTAGTCATAGGTTCCCCATTAGCAGTTACAAAAACATTTTATAATTTTTTTAATTATATCTAAGTTTGAAACAATGACAGAAAAAAATATCAATAGATATGTTTCTAAGATAGGTATTTTTATATGCACTTAGTCTCACTTGAGAGTCCACCAGCAATTCAGGATATATATTTTATTGATCTGGGCTGTTTGTGTTTGGATGCATGTCAAAGTGTTTTGATAGCAGTGAAAGTCGGGTTTGAAGAGCATCACAATGGCAGTAGTTGAATCTGGTCACACAGTCCTCATCTACCCATCTTCTTCAGGTGTCATGTCGGAGATGAATACATTGCATTGGCAAAATCAAGGTCGGGCTAGGGGGGTTCTGGGGCTGTTGATGTTTGCTCCTATAGTATTTCTGACCCCATCAGTCCCTAGTATTCCTCATAAGGGTTATGACATGGACTCCTTCACTTTCATACTCCGTACACTGCCACAGAAACTAGCCTCGGCCAGAGCATCTTGTTCAGGGAGCATTTCAAACAAAGGTCAATACACTGAGTGGAACTCACCTTGGTCACAAAGTCGTCTCATCCCAAGCGTCTCGGTTGGGAAACATGAACAAGGTCAATACACTGCAACAGAAACTAGCCTTGATTACTAGTAATTATGATATCATCGGGGTAACATTTTACATTCTGGTACTTTCCACTCATCTTTATGGTTCAAAGTTAAAATTATTCCATGAGTCTAAGACAGTGGACTTCATAAAGGACTAAGATATTTCTGTGTGGACTACCTCTTCGACCATTAGCTGGATGGCAAGTCTGTAACAGACTATTATGATGCACAAAAGAAAAAAAGTTGTGATGCTGTTTTTTTCTTAAGGACTGTACCCGTGAAGGTGCGGGTTGGCATGAGCCTTCAGTAACCCATGCTTGTCGTAAGAGGCGACTAACGGAATCAGGTGGTCAGGCTCGCTGGCTTGGTTGACACGTCATCGGTTCCCAATTGCGCAGATCGATGCTCATGCTGTTGATCACTGGATTGTCTGTCCAGACTCGATTGTTTACAGACCGCTGCCATATAGCTGGAATATTGCTGAGTGTGGTGTAAAACTAAACTCACTCACTCACTCTTAAGGACCGTTGGTCTAGTGTCTGTTATAAGTGTTGCTATTGCCATGGTCCAGGATGCAGACCCCTATGTTCAGAGACCTGTTTCTGTTATTGACCAAGTCGCATAGTTGGTAATGACAGTAGCCTCCAGCATGGGTGTGACGTGATCGCAAGATGGGGACGAGTGACCATTTTCAACAACTGTTTGGCTTAGAAGAAAACCAGTCTTGGTTCTCAGGCTTTCTATCAACAAAGCCATTTTTAACTCACCTGACTGACAGTCAAGTGAGTTATGTTATGGCAGATTGTCTAGTTGTTTGTCTGTTGTTAACATTGACATTATGACAAAGGCTGAATAATCTGAAACATGGTTTGAATGATTTTTGGAATGGTTTCCTTAAATAATGCTGACTTGAATTTATGTGACTAAAGAAGATGAGGTTTGACATGCAGGCTACTTAAATCCAGTTCCATAGAAAGCTGTAAGCTTTGTGTAGTATGATAATGACCAAGTTTGTTCAGTTCATTGTTGAATCCACTCATTACAATGTAGTGAAAGATCTTTTAAAAATCATTCTTTACATTTATTGCTTGAGTCTTCTTCACCAATTTTCCCTGTAATTCTCTGTAGATGTTTTTACTAACATGAGGTTCAAGTGTCATAAACTTATTTCTAAAATCAGGTGAGCTATAGAGCCATATATAGACAACATTCTTCAGTCAGCTGTGGAAACATGTCTCCTTCAATGTTTTAGAACCATAGTCTGAGAACCAGATGGGGTATTTTTTCAGCCTTGATATTTTACCTAGTGAGAGTATTCCTGTTTGTGCAATCGTCATCTACAGACCAAGTCAACCTCAGGCGTTTATGCCATGTGACACGTCATCAGAAATATGTTATACAGTCCAACCATGTTAACTTCATTAACTCAGTGTAGCACATGTGTCTTGTCATGCTGGCAGAGTCCTTGTGTTTCACAGTGTTTTATTACTGTCCCTCCGCTTGTTCCAAACTAGTGATGTTTGTTCAGCACTTGGAGTTATGGAGTAACATTTGGAGATATAATGATGGCTGAATGCTCCCTGAAGGACTGACCATTTCATATCAGGGGTGGAGCAGCCTGGGATTTTGTATGGAAAGTGCATATTTTTTCTGGTACATCTGCAAAACTAAACATTTATCAAATTAAAACTAAGATATTTAGTGACAAGAAAACATCATGCAACACTGTATTTTGTGGGTGACAGTTACTTTAACAGTATATATGCAACAGTCTAAAGCAGAAGTAATGTTTTCAAGTTTTATTTGATCAAGTTAATTTTGGGGGGTGGGGATAAAATCTCAGGATGGCCGCTACCCCCTAATATCTAATAATCAGCCCTTTAAACTTAAAGGGCCAGTATGTCGACGGTTCTGTGTGTTTTGAATTAATGCATGAAATAATTTCGTGATTTTGTACTTTAAGTTCATGTAAGATTCATTGCTCAAACCAAAACACTAGAGCTCCACACAGCAAGGCCAACAACCGAGGCACTGCGCAGTATGACTGGTACAGGCCATGATTTTATTAGACACAAATTAAAGAGAAAGACCCTTTGTCCTACCATAGTTACTTCAGGCCAGCCTTGTACGTATGGCACATCTTAGCATCTTACCCAGTCCTTTTGAAATGTGGCCTGTTTTCATCTTATTGACTTTCTTTGGGAAAATATCCTTAAATGTGAAAAACTCTTCCTTTTTCCTTCTTATCGTTTATTTACATTGGTTGTACAGCTCAACCTGTACTCTACAGAGCCACTGATACAGTCACGTAGATGCGTCAAGTTATTTAGTCACGCTGCTCAGTGCTACTGTTGTAATGGCATATCCATACAATTATGCAAAACAAAATTTAAAGGACACCAAAATGCTTCCATTTGGTCCATCTGTTATTATTTAGCAACATGTGTATTCTTTACAAACAAGAAAAAGTTTGGTAATGTGAAAAACCGTTACCGATGGTCACTGGAGCAGAATGTTCTGTTGCGGAATTAGTCGAGCAGAGCCTTGTAGACTCCTAGGTTATGGGTTACTGTGTACCAGCAGAGCAGAGCCTTGTAGACTCCTAGGTTATGGGTTACTGTGTACCAGTAATGTTTCAGAACAGTCGATGTACTGGTCGGTTTAGTCAACTAGAGGCACAAGTGTGATACTGCAGAATTGCACAACTTTGTGATATGAGAAGATGTAGGTTTAGTTTTTGTAACAAGTTTTATAAGCATATCAAGTTAGAAAGGGGAAGCTTGGGGAATAAGCTTATCACAATTATCCCATAAATCATCATACATTACTATCAGGACGATGCAAGACTTACATAGAAGCATCACAGTATGTGATGATGTCTGCATTAATATGGCAGCAGTTTCATCTTCATGGACATATGGTCACACTTAGAGTTTCCACTTGTCTGCTACACAGTGGATCTCCCACACAGCTGCTGGAAGGATGGGAAAAGTGACAAGTATGAGTTCTATCGCTCGTAAACAAGTTTTACTTCCCTGAGTTTTACACCAGAATCAGGTAGGAATGTTACCACGTTAACTGACTAATGTGAATGTAGTTCCATTTCCGTGGTTTCCATGCCCTCTACAGAAGACTTAACGATTGTCATCTTAATTAGTATATTTATATATATGTCATTCAAAAATGACACATTGGGAGCTTCCTATAGGAAGATAATGCATTGTACTTACTGCAATGTGTTGCTAACAGCTTTAACCTTCTGTAGTCTGAAGTAAAACTTACTGTCATATTGAGTTGTTGATTGATAATTTTACATGACAGTAACAGGAAAGATTGTTTAATGTCTGGCTAGCCATTTTGTATTTTTCAGAATTTGTCATCAGTCTACTTTCAACAATTCACATCTGTTGTCAGAACACTACTTAGCAAAGCATGGACGTGGTAGGAAAGCTGACAAGTATTATGCAGAGTTAAGTTTTGACTTATCAGTACTTGCAATGTTTAGGAGCAGTTTTTGTTATGTGTACTACTTAATTTATTATCTTTGTTCGGTTGTGTTAGTGTTTGCTATTCCATATATGTAATGTTGATGTACTTTCATCGGGCCTTTTACTCTTGTTTTTCTAGCTTAGCTAGAAGGGTTTCTTTCTTTGAGATATTCAGTTGTCGGTTCAAAACTGACCAACCACAGTTTGCCTGATACACATGCTATGTACGGATATTTAAATGATTACCACCATTTTCAGGAGGAAGATGCTTCTAGTTCCGATTACGAGGCAATCAGATTAACTTTTTTAGGTAACAGTTGTCCTATTTATAGACAAACATATGTAACTTTTAGATCAAATTTGGTTAAATAGAGGATATACTCACATTAAGGAAAATTAAACAATATCAGTAAGATTTCCATTATTGATTAACTATATCTACCATATTTCCTCAATTATGTGCAGATGTCTTGAGTAAACACCGTGCGTTTATTAATGACATGTAGTTTATATGCATGGATATCTCCCCATTATTATTTTTGTGACTAAACACAAGTTGCAAAGAGTGTATGGAAGAAATATGTACCAGGGTGTTTAATCGAGGAAATATGGTATGTGTGGATTGAAGTTTTGCATAAGGGAAGGTTGTATTTCAACTTTGAGTGAGATGTTATTTCATAAGCCGTTTATGACAAATAACTTATTTTGTTGAGTTTCAAACTCCACATAAACTCTTGAAGGGGGATGGCAATTTTCTACTGATCCATGGATTTCCGCCAATTTTATTTCAAATTGATCATTCTGATGACACAATATTAACTTTTCAGCTGAAAATAGATTTTCCTGTTGCCATCCCTGCTTTCACAATCAGTAAGTACTGCAGTTATGAGACGTTTCATGCTTACTGCATTCAAAATGCTGGTGTGTATTTATTATTATTATTTTTTTCCCAGACCATGAGATTTGTTTAAGGTAATCTGAACTAGTATCTGTTTCTTGCACCTCGCCATATACATCTCCATGTATAAGAGATAGTGTTTGTTGATAGAGTGGCCAGCATATCATTGCCAGTGAAGTTTGTCACTGACTATAAGAATCAGGGACCCATTTCATGAAGCCATCATAGCGCCACAACCATGTAGTTCATCTAAATAAACTCGTATTCCAGCCAAGGCCTACATCGAGCATACCTTGGTAAGGTGCAAAGACGTCTAGTTATATGCTGGACTACACAACTGAGTAATTTTACTTCATCATTGACTGACAATCTACTTATGAGGAATGTCTACCCGGCCAACTTGGACACTCACACCATTATTTCTCACATATTTACAGGCAAGTCAGGCTGATGCTCTTTCCAAATCAGCTGACCCTGTCATTTTAGAAGTGTTTAGGGTCTGGTTAGAGAATATGATTGTTTGAGTCCTCATATTAGTAAGTATTTATAGTTATGACAATTTTCCGCTGATCCACCTATTTCTGCAGATTTTATTTCAAATTGTTTAATTTCGGGGTGGGGGGGTGCTCTTCGATGGCACAATATTAAGTTTTCAGTTGAAAATAGATTTTCTTGTTGCCATCCCTGTATTCATGAAACCGGACTCAAGTTATATCAAAAATACAGATCACAATGTTACTTGGAATGATTTTTCTTTATTTCAAAAAGCTCATGTCATCTTATTGGATAAGAACATCTTTAAAATGAAATGAATATTTGTCTGAAGAGTCCATTAGTGACCTAGGGCCACATTTAACCAGGTGAATGCAGTACTCAGGCCATTGTAACTCCCATACTTTACCACAGACTTACAACAGTCTTAGCTCTACGATAGCTGTTTGGATTGGGACCGAGGTCTCTTTGTGTGTGTGGTGTGAGTTCCCAAGATGTCAAGATGATCCATTCATTCAATTGTCTCATGACGTGATGATAGTAATAGGCAGCTCTGAACTTGAAGAACAAAATCAGACCTATGCAAGTCAGTGGCGAAATATCTGACCTATATTGATCAGGAACTTATTCACAATGTATTCTCAGCATTCACTCCATCGTAATTCTGTTACCGAGGATCATAGTAGTCGTAGTGCTACCATCCCCTCTTAAAGCAGGGTCATAGTAGATTTGTGTGGTAGTGTGTCAATGGGCGATAACACAACATTACTACCATTTGTCTGGTCTTGCAGCAGTGTACAAAACAGGTTATGACCTGAGAGGTAATTTCATTTGTACATTCTATTTTATGATTGTTGTGTGAGACTTATCTCACTAATGAGGACCATGGGAGTTGACTCATTAATTCATGACAGAATTGTAGTTGATAATACACCTGTTATTCAAGAATGCCTTGCAAAGCATTCACAAAGAATTTTTGTGTGCTCTGTCCCCTTTGATATTTGAACATGGAAAAAAGATGTGTCAAATAGTGCATGGATATGCATTCCTGGAGTGTTCAATTTTGAAAGGGGCTTGCAGAACGTTATATGCCAAATTCTGTACATAAACCCTTAGTTTTATAGTTCGACCAATCGCTGTCTAAGACAGTACATGGGTTTATTGTTGTTATCGTGACAACAGTCATGTCTGCGATGATGAATATAGATTTCTAATATATGGTCAATATTTATGTTATGATTTGTTGAAAATGACTACAAATGGCATAAGTTGTTGAGTACTTCTTTTTCCAAGTATAGATTTGTTTCTCCACATTTCCCCCATCATTTGATGCAGATTGCACTGACAGCCTGAGACTTGTTTAACACTAGTCCTGAGGCCTTTTATTTCCCTAGTCCTTAGTCCCTAGAGTTTGTAGCCAGTCCTGCAGGATTCATACAACAATGTTTATGTTTACATTTTCTGTACGGCGTTTTGTTCAGTTTCCAATTTGTGGCAAAGTTGAAGTAACAGGAACTTATTCAGGGTCCTGTTCCTCAAAGCGATCATAGCGCTACGATGATCGTAACTACCATACTTTAACATAGACTTACGACTGTCAGTAGCATTACAATTGCTTTGAGGAACTTGTTCAGAAATATAGTTCTGCTACTAGTCAGTGAGGAATCCCATCATTTGTTTTTCAATTGTCCTCAGTAAAATTTAGTAGGCATGGGCTGGAAGACTAGCATGAATTTCAATGGATGTTTCATCCAGCCATTTCTCATAACATGGCTCATTCAAAGTAAGTACAATGAAACTTTATGAACAAAAGCTTTGACCGCCTTACGTATAACTTGATGAAACAAATGTCTGAGCCCAGCTTACATGTTGGATGTAGCTACATGATGTGTTCACTGGTCCAACTAATGTAGTATTGCCTCATTTGTTGAAGTATCTGTTCTTTGGATGGCACTGTATAAGGCTCAGGACCTTGTTTAAGCTACCATTCTTCCAGATTTTGGAATACTGTTTTTCCAGTTGAATGACGGGTGTGTGTGAGTAAACTACATGTATTGGTCATTATCTGCATTGTGATTGTGGAAGGCTGATGTTGGATACAGATGTAGATACGGTAAACAAAGCTGTTCCGTGGCACTTCAAGTAAAATGGTGGTGAAAATACAGCGACTCACCATTTCTGTGCAATATGGGTCCACGGGACACTTATATTACTCTGTAGATGTGGTTTTAACATCACTTCTTCCTGTTCAATCACATGCCTGATATTGGAACCAACTTGTCTGGTTGCCCAGGTTACATGGAGATAAGGCACCATTGGGCCTACCATCTTGACAAGGTTTCTGTGTATTAATGGTGATTATTTTCATGCCTACCATTTGAGTACACAAGTAATACTCATACATGTTTGGCTATAGGTATTTAATTCAAGAGCCAGAAATTGTTTTTAGATTGTATTATGTAGAATTAGACCACATGTTATGCTATTGTCCATTTACTGTAATAATTGCATGAAAAGAAGATTCCTCTTTGAAGAGATATGAATAAATGGATTTATTTATCTGTTGAAGCGAGAGTATAAAACACATTACTCCTTAAATGGAACTTCATAGAAACATGTCACATTGAAAATGTACTTGTGTCGCAATTATATTGCTTATTTATATGAGAGAACTATTTTCTGTACTTAGTATCAGCATAGCTGAAATTAAAATAATTCAAGCTAGACCACTTTCATTTATTGTTCTACCAAGTTTTTTTCTAAGACATACTAGAATGTTGTTAGGATGATGAGTAATTTATTTTGCTATGTGTTCAGGAAATGATAGTTGTATTCAAAAGAAACATGCCTTTTTTCAAAAAGAAGTTTTCAGCCCTTGAAATATGTTTTTTACTATTGATGATAACCTTGGCACCAAATCAGTAGACACACTACTCAACATCTGTAATGCGAGTTCATGTAGTAACTCAATGATTGTTTGTCATAAATAGTAGTATTTGAATTTTTCATTAAAATGGCATTTTTCAGCTTCATGTTAAGTTTCCTTTTCGATAAATTATTATATGAGATTGTTGTAATATGTCTTATATTGGTGCCCTTATTTAAAGTTGAGTAGTATATTATTGACTTCAGATTTGACTGTATTACAGTACATAACATACCAAGGCTAACAGCTGTCGACGTCCTTGAGGATAATGTTGAGTTTTGAAAACAGGTGCTTGTTTACTTTGTCGATTAACCATGTGCAAGTACTCTAGTATTCATATACTGTTTTTCTTTTTTTAAACCTCATCATGCTTGAATGTAAGTGAGTGAACATGTCCGGATCTGTTGGGGGTCACAGTGTTTGTATGGCAAACTTCCATTTCCTTGCTTGTAGGTTCATTGATTCAGAACTTGAAGACATATCTATCGTATGACTTATTCTTCATAGTTGTATGTACTGGGGAAAATAACAAATTAAGAACCCATTTTGTATGTTAGTATAAATTTTGAAATACCATTTTCATGCAACTGAAAATGTCTACATTTTTTAAGTCTTGTTCATTATATTGATGTTTTTGTTATTCTGTCACCTTACAATGTTCTTCATCGTTTGAAAAACATTTATACTTCATACATAATAAGTTCGTACTTAAGAAGAAATTTGAAGCATTGAGTTCACATTTAATAGTATACGTATTATAGTACTTTAATACTTTCTACCTTCTTTACAATTGTCAAAATGAATTTGTTACCGGAACAGTTTTTCAGTGCCATCATAGGATATTAGAAATTACAGTGGTTTGTATTACAGATTTACCTGCAAAGTTTGCTTCTGTGTTTATATATCTGCTGCACTAGCCGCAGGTTGTGCAAGGTAATGTGTCTTATGGTTAATTGATGCTATTCTATGCCTCTTTCTGTAGCAACGTGTAAAGAAATTGAATAGATTGCCTGTGTAGTTACACTGAACTGCTCTCGCCAGTGTTACTGTTACTTCTTCCTGTTTCTATTTTCTTACACGCTCTCTCCATCCTTTGTTCCTGAAATAAAATCTACCTTATCTACCTGTTTCTCCCTTACAACCCCCTTCATCTACCTGTTTCTCACTTACAACCCCTTCATCCTCTGTTTCTCGATTACAACCCCCTTCATCCTCTGTTTCTCCCTTACAACCCCCTTCATCTACCTGTTTCTCACTTACAACCCCCTTCATCCTCTGTTTCTCACTTACAACCCCCTTCATCCTCTGTTTCTCACTTACAACCCTACATCCTCTGTCCCAAACATACAACCCCTTTCCTTTCCTTTTCTTGTCCTACAACCCCCTTCATCCCCCTGTTTCTCACTTACAACCATATATCATCTGTCCCAAACATACAACCCCTTTCCTTTTCTTGTCTTACAACCCCCTTCATCCCTGTTTCTCACTTACAAGCCCTACATCCTCTGTCCCAAACATACAACCCCTTTCCTTTTCTTGTCTTACAACCCCCTTCATCTACCTGTTTCTCACTTACAACCCCCTTCATCCTCCTGTTTCTCACTTACAACCCTACATCCTTCTCTGTCTCAGACATCCAGTTCTTCTCTAGGTTTCTGTAACAATAATACTTCTCTTCCTTCTTTGTCCAATTCATCTCTTATTCTTTGATGCCTACATCCTCTTTCCTCTACACCCATCCCATGATTGTCTAACCTGCATCTTTTCTGACAACCTCTTCCTTTTGTTGTTTTTCCATATACCTCTTTTTGTTTCTTCTGTTGCCTTCCTTACTGAAGCACAGCTGCTGGTGTTGAAGCTCATTTGTTATTTGTTTACGAACACTATCAAAAACCAAGTAAGACTTGATGTAAATGACTTCCAGACCACAGAATAATGCATGTTTTAATATCTAATGAAGACACTGGCGTGATGATAAAGTATGAGCAGTTGATCCCAGACTTCCTTCTTCCACATGGGATCACTGTCTGCACCAGTGGTTCATAACCACACGCTTGCTGTACGCTTTAACTGTCAGTCAGATGACCTCGCACATCAGTTTTGTGTGTATGTTAGACTCCTGTAAGTGCTCTTTGTTCAACATTCTGAAGAAAAAATAAAATAATTTTAGATATTTATACTGTTTTGATTCTCTCTCACGTTGACTTAGCTAGTTGCATGTTATTGTACAGCATCATTGTGAAGTTAAAAACAGTTTTCTGCGGTTGCCCAGAGTCCATCTGCAAACCATTGACTATTTTGGATTGTATACAGGACCAGTCAATTGTATGGTACAGGTCATGCCTTCAGGTGCCATGTCAACATTGTCTCAGTTCGGAATGACTTTTGTAGAATATGTCCTTTATCGATATGGGTTAGTTATGGTCTGGAATTCAATAAACAGGTGGAGAAACTGATCTACAAGCTCAAAAGAGGTGTCGCTTGACAGGAGCATTCTCCAGCAGAGATTCCAACCACATTCATAACAAGGTGCTCTGGCGGCAGAGTCATTTACACCGCTGCAATTAGCTGTGCAATTGCATCCGTTTGACCGGAAGTTGCTATTGTGGGTTTGAATCCCCTGAAGATTGTAAGCAACATATGAGTGGTTTTTGAGAGGCATATAAAAGTTGGTATTCAAGTATAAGACAAAATATTATGGATGTCAACTTCTTTATTCTTTACACAATATATAGAATAAAGAAGAAATTGACATCCATAATATTTGGCCTTATAAACATATGAGTGTTTTCAGGTTTTACAAAATAGTATAACATATACTAAACATCATTAGTGAAGGGTCACCTATATATACTAAGCAGCAAAAGAAACA